TGTGGCCTTGAGGTCCGCATGGAGGTTCCACACAATCAAACAATAGAAATAAATCAGTCTTTTGTTCCATCCTCATTCTAAAATGAGGAGGAGGCGACCGACAGGTGGAAACAATAGAAACAATCAAACATGGAAAGGGGTTCCACACCCTGTATTCAACCTTTGTTCCATCCTCATTCTAAAATGCCCAAACAATCAAACAATAGAAATAAATCAGTCCTACAACAGATTTTCAATTGATGAGTTTTAGAAACTACGGCATTGTGAATATTCAGAGCAGTACTTTATCCTAGAAATGGAAAGGGAAACAAATAAATCTATATAATCTGAGTAACCGAGTAAGATCATCATTTACAGAGCTACAAGCCCAGAATGTTGTCACAAGATAACAGTCTAATACTTACTTAGATTCAAGCTAATGAGTTGGCAGAAACCGAAAGTCTACTTTTTTTATATATAACATTATTGCCCGTGCTAACGCTACGATTCTCTCATTACTTAAACCAAAAGAAAACTAAAAAAAACAGATCCAAATATCATCTTCTAGTTAAGATTTTTATCTTCACATGGCCGAAAGAAGAAAAATCTAACGCAAAATCGAAAAAAAATCAGAACAAACTCTTGATCTGCAGTTTCAGATTGAAAACCACAAAAGCTATGATAATATAGCTTTCCATCACTGGTATCAGTGGAATAAAAGCGCTTGGGGTAATTGTTTCATCATCAATCAGCCAGCTCAAGAGTTGACAAATTGTACTCCAGAACCATCCAATCAGTATTTTAGTACCACATAGGTGCCGAAAATGAAGCAGATCTAACACTAAAAAAAAACAAACCAGCAACACACTGCATGGATCTACGAAAAAAAACAGATCTACACATTACAATGCTCATATAAGTCATAAACATCAAAAAGACAAAAAAGAAAGCCCAAATAAAACTCTGAAAAGCACACCTAATGGCAAACAAAAAAAAAAGAAAAAAGAAAAAGAAAACCTGACAGAAAATGAATATTCAGACAGGGATAGCACTAGTACAAGCTAACAAAAAATATATATTCATGTCAGAAACGCCAATCTGAGGTAATATGAAGTAAAAAGAAGGAAAACCATGGCTAAAAACAGTCTAAAAATTTAGCTCATCACACTAAAGATCTTGTTCTAGCTTCTACTAAAATGAATTGTCACCTATAGAAAAACCCGCATCACCAAAAAGGATTTGAAGCTAAATTGAGAAAAATAAAATGAATTGTCGAGAAGCGTAGTGCAGAGGAAACTAAAAAACTACTGAACTGTAGATAGAAAACTAGCATAACACTATAAGCTAAAGCTACTACTGCTGGACAGGCCAAAAGTGCTAATTGAAACTAAAACTAAAAGCACTAGAATAGCCACAAGATTTGAAAGACAGTCAATACTAAACCAGATGACCACTACACACGATTAACTGAGCAACTAGACTATCTAAGCATAGATACTAGCTTGCAAGAATTAAATACTAGATGAATATGTAGCAAGAAAGGGACGTTGCACAGAGATTTAATTCGCAAATTGCTACCTGGAAGTTGAGTGCACTTTGCCAATCTGAAAAGCAAGAGTTCGGTTGTATTGCTCAATGGCTGCTACTACTGATATTGCTCAACTTGTAAAAATGACAGACCAAGATAAAACAGACACGAGTGCAAGCTACTAAAAGAGCATGATCAGCCAGAAGAAAACACAGAAGATTAGCAAGACGATCAAATGAAGACCGAATCGGGAACAAAAAGTCTTTGGTGATTCTCTCGAACTAAGCGAACAATGAAATGAAACCCGTGTGGGCGATTCTCCCACGGATTTCAATTTTCGGTCAAAAAAGAGAATGATATAGGAATAAACACTATACAACCGAGATTTCAAGCAGATCACAAGCACCATACAAGCACCACACATGCAAAAAGATCACAAGCACCAAGGAAAAAAAATCACAAGCACCATGTATTTCTTTGTTGCGAGAATCGAACTTGTGGTAGATTGGATATGCTCCTACACCATCCGATCCTCCACTCAAGAGCTTTCGCATCCACGTGGCAATCGCATATCCATAGCAGCAATAACTATTTCCTCATCAAGCTCCCACAACACCGACAATGACACGCTTACGGTTGAGGAATCACATTTGTAGTAGTGAATCACATTTACGATTTCTTTGAATTAATGACCTATCCTACTTCACTTTTTGGACCAAATACAGAAGTTGAAAAATCATGTCAAATACCATCATTACTTGCTAAAAATCAAACAAACATTTGAATGTTTGGTTCCTCTCTCTCCTTCCCTCCCTCCCTGGCTGCTTGCTTTGCTTCCCCCAAGCTACAAGATCCCAAGGAAGCTGATCCACCGACCACCTTGAGAAGAAGTGAACTGAAACTGGCAGCAGGAACACACGCAATAATTGAAAGTGCACACCACATCCACACACGCACCTAGCGATGGAGTGACAACCATCGACTTGCTTCCGGCGATGGCCATTGCCAACCCCGCCCCATCTCCTTCGTCATGCGTACAAGACATCCCACACATCACCCTCCTCCACCTCACCTGACATCATCCCCGCTTCGGTAACAAACACCGCTCCAATCAGCGCCCGGTCGCTCGTCGTCGGCCGTGAAGAAGCGACAGCACACAATGCAAATCCAACACACAAAAGACAAAATCTCCGGCGAGACGACGCCGTCCAGGTGAGGCGAAAGCAAGCCACTTCATCCTCCCTGGACTCGAACCACAAATACATCAAACATACCATCAAATCCTAGAACAATCAATCAAACAACTACAGAACCAGATCTACCGAACCAATGACCCCCAACAACAGAGTTCAAATCAAGGGACAGCGTGCGCCGTACCAAGGTACCTGCCGACCTCTAGCAATGGTGCCCTACGTCCTCGTCGTTGGAGATGGCCGCCGCTGCCGAGAGAGCGTCGTCGCACGGGAGAGCTTGTCGGGACCTCGTCCGGTCGCAACCCGCCGCCGCCGGGGGGACCTCAGACGGACCTCGCCGGTCACGGCCATGGACGATCGCCTTGCCGTGGGTTCCCGGTAGAGGTGGGGCGTCGTGTTCGAAATGTGCGCCGCTACGCCTGGGCGAGAAGAGGATGGAGGAAGGGGAAAGGTTGCAGCCGGTCTCACCCACTGGAGAAGTGAGTCGATGCGTGGCCTTGAGGTCCGCAGGTCAGAGAAACAAAACAGAAACGCCACATCGAACGACCCAGGACACGCGCGCGAGACGGATCCGACGGAGAGAAAATCTATGTGCCAACGAAAAAAAAACACATATGTGTTGTATAGCATTCCTGAAGAAATTAATTCGCTTCCCCATGACAAATTTTGACAGACTTGTGAAAAGTGAAATGAGTGACAAATCCCTTGAGTCGTGGGTGCTTTATTGAACATTTATTAAAATTTGAACCACATGATGCAAAGGCACACGCGATTCCGCCCGCCAATCGTTGTCGTCGATTCTTTGTAAAAGCAGCCGTTGGATGGCTGGAGTATTCCGGCGACTCGAGAACCGTCCGACGTGGACCAGCAACTAATCGGCGAAATGTCCGCGTCTTCCGGATTCTATTCTAGGGCCTCCGGCTTCAACCAAAACAACTTCACTTATGACTTCACCTGTGTAGCAGATTCACTCGGAAAGCTGAAGTAGTTTTGTTGACTATTTGGTAAAATAGATTCATCTGATTGTCTAAAAGGATAAAATGTCAATTATACCTTTTTTTTTTTTTTTTTTTTTTTTTTTTCTTCCTCTATTTTATTTTCTCCTCACTTGTACCATCTCTTATTATTTCTCTCTCATCCCAACCGCGAAGCATAGATGGAGCTCAGCCTGGGCGTTCGGTTTTAACCGACGGTTCGGTTCGGTTTTTTCGGTTTTCTAAAATTTCGGTTTCTAGAAAATGACCCCTGATCGGTTTGCTAAAATTCCGAAAACCGACCAATTTCAGTTCGGTTTTTTAAATTAAAACCGAATAAACCGATGCAAGAACTGACAGCACAGCACAGTACAAACTTGCACAGTACAGTATATTATTTGAAGACTCAAGACTGTTACAAACTTAATAATTCAATGCTCAAATCAAATATTACAAATTTGCAGTTCATTCTTGATAATAAACCACAATACTTCATCAGTTTTGATAAACCACATGAAAAAAACAAGTTCCAGCCAGTAGGACTACCGACTATTCGATTTCTTCCGTACTTTGGTTCAGTATGACATAAAACCAAAGACGAAGCCGAACATCGAACTTCACATAACTGAAAACCAAAACCAAAATCAAAAAAAAATCAAACTATCGACTAGCTCTGTTTAAACGATCGTAAATTTTCGGCAGAACCATCAGCCGAACAGGCTGTATTCGTTTCGGTTCGGTGTTCGGTGAAAAAGCGCCCAGCGTGAGATTGAGCGTCGTTCTTATCCTCTCGATTTCCAAGTTTCCATCGCCTGCGCTCTTCCTTATCCTCTCGCTTTCCATGCCGCAAAGCACAGATGCGAGCTCCGCGCCTGCGTCGGGCCCTGAGCTCCACCCCTGAGCTCCGCGACTACACCGGGCCCCTCCTCTTCGGCACGCTCGCGCGGCCCGCACTCCTCGCCGGCGCGTAAGTGCACACGCGCTCCGCCTCCACCTCAACGTCGCATCTGCCTCGCCTCACCTTCGCGCTCGCGTGGCCTCACCGGCCCGCACCGGGGCAAAAGAGTCCGGGCCCGCGCGTTGTCAGAGGAAGCCGGAGGAAGCCGCCTATTTCCAGCTTCACCGTGCGTCTGCTGTCTGTCTCAGCGGGTTTTCCGGAGCTTCACGCGAGTAGCGCCTTCATTTTTGCCGTTTGGTAGAGAGAGCCGAAAACAGCTCCAGGAGCCGTCGAAGAATCTGTACCAAACGGCCCCCTACACCTCCGCCACGTGCTCCCTCGCCACCGCCTCCTCCCGTTTCCCACCTCGCCACCGCCGCGCCTCCCTCATGGGCCAGTCCCCCGGCGCTCCCCCGGGGCGCAGCCGCAGCCGCAGCCGCAGCCGAAACGGGAGCAGCTCGCGGTGGCCGCACCCGGGGCTCGGGCTCGACCTGGGGTTCCTGCTCGGGCGCAAGCCGCGGCCGGGGGACGAGAGGCCGGACCTGGCGAGCTGGATGCGGTGCTTCCTGTCGCAGCGTCTGCCGCAGCCCACCGCGACGGCGGACGCGGAGGGTAAGGCCGCCGGGAGACGAGAGGAGGAGGAGGTTGGCGCGGATGAGGCTGACCACCTCGTCGTCATGGTGAACGGCCTGTACGGGAGGTGTGTAAGCAATCGTTTTGCTCTCGGGTGTGTGTTAGTGTGGTACTCCTGTGTTCAGCTAATTTTGTGGCTTATCAGTTCGGCGGATTGGAAGTTTGCAGCGGAGCAGTTTGTGAAGAGATTGCCGGGAAAAGTCTTGGTGCATCGTGAGTGCTCCTACTTTGTATTAGTTGCGCTCTTCCATTTGAAACGGGTGCAATTTGTTATCACAAACATTGAATTAGTTCCTTCGTAGAAAGGGATGTAGAGTAGAACATAGAAGTGTGTAGTCAATCTTAAATCTTAGTGGAGAAGATCCAAAGTCTGGAGTGATTTTAGTTGGTAGCTGAAAATTTGGATGTGACTGAATCCGGTGAACTGGTGATTCTATAGGACAATTGTAAAAGGTAAAATACTGAAAGGTGCTTGTCAGTGTGTATTCTAAAAACAGCCTCTGAGAAAATTTTGCAACACTAGTAAGCACAAGTCATAGCGGGCTACAATCGTAGTTTGAAATCGACTGAAGTCGCTTAAATGATTACGCAACTGGGAGTGATGTGCAGGCAATCTAGTTTGCTAGTGACAATCCTGTTATGTCTATGTGTATTGGGTACCCTCATGCTATTCAGTAAGCTTCCCATATCAAGTTTGTTCCTGCTTCCACTGCACACTTAAGTGGCCCTTGACCTGGCTTACTGAAACATAACCTACTTTGTGCTATTTTAAGAACACTTATATTAATATTCCTTTAATGCAGGTAGTCAGAGCAATTATTCAAAATTAACATATGATGGAGTTGACTTAATGGGTGAAAGGCTAGCTGAGGAGGTACTATAAAGTAGTATTCATTAAACCAGTTATTTCACTTTGTAATACATTCATATCTTGTGTTCATTTGCCCTTTGCCAATTCATAGTTGAGTACTATTGCTTTTAATAATCCATTAAAGTTTACTGGGTGTCATTCAGTCAACTAGAAGTAGAAGGTTACAAGATGAAACAAATATTTATCATGCAGGTTCGACAAATTGTTCAGAGGAGAAGAAACTTGAGGAAAATATCTTTTGTTGCTCATTCGCTTGGTGGTTTAATAACAAGATATGCAATAGGAAAACTTTACGAACCTGCCATGGATGAAACATCTTCTTGTGACACTGATAAGACTTCTGATGAACAAAATGTACCTGGTGCTGGTAAAATAGCTGGTTTAGAACCAATCAATTTTATTACATCTGCTACACCACACTTGGGCTCAAGGTGGAATAAACAAGTAAGTTCCATGGTTATTTACTTATGTTCAGTTTTGAGTGCCTATTAGATTACGTTCTTCTATATTATCATCAGTCTTTTATCACTTCATCAAAGTCCCATGAGCCTACAGATATTTGAACCTTCTTCTATGATATAACTCTTAGCCCTTTTATTAATTTGGACAAAAAGATCAGAAATCTGCCCATTTTCCGAGTCTCATTCCTACTACTCAATGCCTTAACATTCCTTCTCTCATTGAATTTTCACTGTGGTTACGTTCGAGTTCAGTAACAAAACAGTATCAGTAAGACAGGAACGAAGACCCTGATTCATTTTTATTTTTGTGTTCTTCAGCTTCCCTTTCTTTTTGGTGTCCCACTTTTCGAGAGAACTGCTGCAGGAACAGCACATTTTATAGTTGGAAGAACGGGTAAACATCTATTCCTTACAGACAGAGATGATGGGAAGCCTCCTCTTCTCCTACGAATGGTTGAAGATTGTGACAACGGGAAATTCATGTATTAGTCCTGTAATTGCCAAGTCATATCAATCTCTATAATTCATATTCTGGCTTCAAACGTCATCTTTACACTGTTACCTCATGCCAGGTCTGCATTGCGCTCTTTCAGGCGTCGTGTTGCCTATGCTAATGTAACATATGATCGTATCCAACTGATGCTACACATTTTCTATTTTCTGCATCAATTTATGAGTTGATTGTCAAAGGTATCCATTTACATGTTCCCTTAACTTATCGAAATAGATATAGTTGGTTGGAAAACATCATCGATTCGGCGTCAGCATGAATTACCAAAAGTAAACCTGCACTTCTGTTTACTAAGAGGCAATAAAAGTCCTCCTGTGCTTTACCACTAATCTGTCTATAATGTGGCCTTTCTTTGTTTCCCAGCTCAAGTTAACAGCCAATAATGAAAAGTATCCTCATGTTATTAATGTTGATAAACGAAATCTAGAGGATCATCAGCAAGAGGGATCTGTAGAAGATTCACTGGCAGATAGTTATGAAGGTAATAATGACCGATAGATATGCCATAAATTTGCATGTGTGGGTTTTGCTCTGTTTTTTTTTAAGACCGGATAGAGGTGCATTAGTGCATCTAAGAGTTGCAAAAAGGCTTGAGAAGCTGGCAACTGAAATGTTGCTGAATGTTCCCTGTTAATTTGTAAGCTTAGCTAATTAAAATTAAAATTTACTGATCGGAGTAAGATGTGCACTGCACTGCACATCTAACTGCAGTCGGTTCCCTGCTATAGCTGTGCATTAAGACATCTGTTATTACAGAGATGATGATCCGTGGCCTTACACAAGTGACCTGGGAACGTGTGGATGTATGCTTTCATAAGAGTTGGCTAAGATACAATGCCCATAATAACATCCAGGTAAGACTTTAACACTCTAGCCATCTGCAGACAATTATTCTAGTACAGTTGCACTTGCATTCATACTTTTAAACATCTGGAGATTTATGCTACAATGAAACCACCAATTGGGAGTTCAACTGCTAAGTAATATTACAACTTATCTGTCGGGCAGCTGAGAAAGAATTTTACACATTGCTATTGCTACAACTACCTGATCAGTAGCTGTGAAGCTTTCCCTTGATGTATACGACACTTCCTTGTTCAGTAGTAACAAACAGAATTTCCTCGTATCGCTACATGATTTACCTAATAAGGATGTAGTATTGTAGTTTCAGGGAAGTCTAAGCATTCTTTGGGTTTACAATGGTTGCAGGTTAGGATCCATCCAATTAATTCAGATGGAGAAGACGTGATATACCATATGATAGACAATTTTGTAGTCTAGACAAGTAGACTATTTCTGATGAATGCCAACTACATAAAAAGATTATTGCTATTTCCGGCGAATTTGTCTTGAGTTAGATAATTGGCATCATCGGATCAGCATGTACTCACACATGCTGCCAGGTGAATGGAGTGTAGGACCTGCCCTTGTTTCTGGCAATGTAAATATAAGTATTAGTAATGTAAATATTAGCTTGAAAGTGCAAATTCTTGTAAATGGGCATTTACAATGTTGTCGACAATCGGAAGTTGGGAAAATCTAAAGTTTGTTGGTTGCTCAGCTAAAATATATGCCAGTCTCCTGTATTCTGCATCAGAAGCATGGAGTGAATGTTTCTTTCTGACTGACAATTGTTTGAAATCCAGATCATGTATGTCCGCCACCATCTAAATACCTCCTGCTTGGCAGAAAATGGGAAGGGGATAACTGGTGGCTGCCCGTCAAATCGGTTGAATCCCACAAAACGAACATGATAAACATTCTGAAGTCGCTCTAATTATAGTCAATAGAGGTCAGAGAACAGGTGTAGAAGTCTAAAAGAGATAGAGATGCTCCCAAAATCCTCCTCTGATCACATCCCCTCCCCAAGACCTTTGAGGGGATGAATCGCCAGCGTCAGAATCGTAGAAAGTTAGCCTAGAATAAATTATAGAGACCAAAATCCACCGATCCAAATAGAGCTCTGCACACATTAGCAGCAGGAGAAGCAACAGAGGCACAATGGGCAAGTACAGAGACGGGAAGGACGCCGGCGAGGCCGGCGGCGGCGGCAGCTACCCGTTGGTTGCCGTGTGCATCGATAAGGACAAGAACAGCCAGAACGCCCTCAAGTACGCCACCGAGACGCTCGGCCACAAGGGCCAGACCATCGTCCTCGTCCACGTCAACACCAAGGGCACCTCAGGCGAGCATCATCCTTCCTCTCCATGACACGACCTGACCAAAGGTTCCTCGTCAGCTTCCTTCCCGTGTCTCTGACGACGGCGTGCGTGTGCGTGCAGGTGGGGTGGAGGACGCCGCCGGGTACAAGCAGCCGACGGACCCGCAGATGAAGAACCTCTTCCTCCCGTTCCGCTGCTTCTGCACGCGCAAAGACGTACGCAATGAACTACACACATCAAACGTAGCAGCAGTGTTTACACGGTGCGATTTCACGATGTCTGGTGTAACGTAATACGTGCTCTGTAATTGTGTGCCGCAGATCCACTGCAAGGACGTGGTGCTGGACGACCACGACGTGGCCAAGTCGATCGTCCGGTTCGCCGCGCACGCCGCCATCGAGAAGCTCGTCGTCGGCGCCACCGCCCGGAGCGGCTTCGTCAGGTGAGCCAGCCAATGGCCGTTCCGTGCTGATGCCTACGCGTCCGATCCATCGCGTCATTACTCATCAAGCAAAGACAAAGAGCGAAATCAATCCTGGTTTGGTTTGTGCATGAAGGTTCAAGGCGGAAATCTGCAGCAGCATCTCAAAGGCCGCGCCGGACTTCTGCACCGTGTACGTCGTCTCCAAGGGCGGCAAGGTGACGTCGATGCGGCAGGCCGTCCGGCAGGCGCCGGCCGTGTCGCCGCTCCGGACCATGATCCAGGGGCCCAAGCCGGAGCTGGTGCACGCGCAGAAATGGACGCCTCCTCCTCCGTCTTCCGGGACACCAATGTTTCAAGAAAACCACATCATGTAAGCCCGCGCGCGTATGTAGTTAATTACTCTTGTGGTTGCGGCCATGTACGTAATTAACACCATTCCTAGTTCATCTTTGCATAATCGTTTCCTCTGATGGCTAATCGAATCCATTCCATTGTCTATGTGCAGGACGCGGCGAGCGATCCGACGCGGCCGCACCACGTCTCGCACCCGAGCCAGTCCGCCATGCCTACACGGAGGTCCAACTACAACTGATCGAGACGCCATGGAGCAGCTCGACAGTGATCACCGGTGGTTAGCTGAATGAACTGAATATTTTCTCCTCTCCTGGTCTGAATAGACTGTGACTGCTGTTAACCGATACAGCTGGCAGAAGCAGAGCATGCCATGGCAATGCCAATCGTGCATTGTCGGCAGTAAAGTTGTAAACTGTGCAGTGTGTATGTAGTTTTTTCAACTCAAAAAAAAAAAAACATGTGAATTCTGTAAACAGACTTAAAGAAATTTGATCAAAAGACCAAAAAATCGGTACTGGCGGGTGACGGCTCGGTTCCTCCCGAAAGTCGTTCTGAAATTCGCATTGCATGATGTGTAAACGCTGACTGGTCGCAGCAAAAGAGGACATTCGATCTGTCTGACGCCGACGGGCAGCCTGCAGGCACATGGTTTGTCTGTCCTGGAGCGTGCAAAGCACAAATTGGTGTTGTGCTCCGTGCTCGTGTCGCCGAGGTCATTGCTGATCCTGTCCCCATGGTTTGCCACTCCCCTGCCTCGTCCCCGTCAGTCGCCAGCCTGTCTGAAACTCTGAACTAAGAACAACCAACAGCCAGGCGCAGCCTTTGCTTGCGGCTCAAATAGGAGTACGGGTACTCGTAGGAGTAGGACTACGAAACTGTCTCCTCGGGCTGAAAAGAATCGAGGAGGATGTACTAGCACTCGACAATAGGCACGCACCAACGTTCGCCTCACGCAAGGGGAGCGTAGCTTCCACGTACCTGAGGTCGGCAAAAGCACAAGACGCGGACGTGACCCCTGCCGGCCGGCCGGCCGGTCCGCCGGTGCGCGCGCCAAGAATCTTTCACGGTTTGCTCTCTGCGTGCTGGGGGAGCGGAGACACGGTGACCACGTGGGACGTGCCAAGCGAACACTCTGCGCCCTCCGTGCCTAGCACGGTGACCAGACTACACCCCTTGTTCGGGCCGCCGCGTGAGTACACCGCTGCGGCGGGGGGCATGTGAGCTCCAGAGCCTGACCTGGTCCCCCGGCCTGGGCCCTGCCGGGCTGCCACAGTGCCATGCCCCGCCCGTGCGCCGGCCGGCGCGGCTGCCGGAACGACAGGGTGGAGGCTCGCGGCTTTTACGAGCACGGCCAGCAGACATGAATGCGTCGCAGGGGAACACGCGAGATGGAAGTTGCGGCCGTCTGATGTCTACTCGTCGTAGCAGTAGCAGGGGCCACGCTCCGGTGCCGATGCGATGTGGACGTTGCCTAGCTACTGCGCGCAGCACTGTCCTTTTGGGGCGGCGCGCCGGTGCGTAGGGATCCGAGGCGCGCGCGGCGGCGGAAGCCGAGGCCGAGGCTCCAGATCCCAAACGCCCATTGGCATTTGGCAGTACTCAACCTCAACGCGGGAGACAGACACATCCAACTCTGAAGTCTGGACGGAGCAACGTGCTGTAAAAAAAATGTGTGTATACCTATGCTTTGGCCAGGCAGAAGATCAGATCCCGCATTTTGAAAACCATACGCCGTACAGTATATGTGAGATGAGACATGGCCACAACCACAAGGAAGGAAGTGGAGTGGTGAGTGGGTGTGCTGGTGCTGCTCAAACTCAAAGGCTACAAAGCTAGCTCGAGCACTTAGTAAATCTTCTCTTTAACTGACCAATATACATGTAGTAAGTTCCACGCTTGCTATCTATCTGGACGCCTCCTCTGTCACGGTTTTTTTCCTCTCCTCTCTGGTTTTTTCCTTCTCACACCTGGTTTCTGAGCTGTAAAAAGTAAGTATAAAAATTACTGCAGAAAAAGGTAAAAATAGAGCCCACTATTTATTCATTGGCAAAATCATTTGTTTAACAAATTTTTTAATAAAGATGCTCTAGCACTGCAAAAGTGCCCGCCCGCCCCGCCCCGCCCCGCCCCATCCTATTCAGTCCTGCCCGTAACTGAAGGAATCCTGCGCCCCTGCGGCTGTGGCTGGGCCCCGGACCAATTCGCAATTCCCATGACGCAGCCAACACGCACCAATGGCGCCTCCCGTGTCAGGGACTAGATCCTACTGTAGTGTACTGTTGATACGCTGACGCCGACGATGCGTCGCCGAGGCGAAACTTCCAAACAGTGGCAGGGCTACTACGCGACAGGCAGAGGCAGCCAGGCAGCCAGGCTAGGCTTCTGCTTCTTCCACTGCTGGCCGGCCTTCTGGTTCTTCTCCCTCCTCTCCTTGCCTTGTGGTTGTGGCGTGCGCAGCGCAGCCATGGAATGGAACGGAGCGGCACGGCACGGGCCAATCCGGCGCCGTTCCGTTCGCGAATCAACGTTGTCTATCTTGACGTAACTGCACTGTCACCTCACTCTATTATATGGAGTACCCCTGTAATGGAAAAAAGGGCCTGCTGATTGGATTTGGACATACTAGGCGTACTCGGGTGTACGTACATTGCGTACCACCTTTCACGGACTTCTTGTGGACTTTTCTCGCGCCACCTCTCGCAGTACTAAATTCAGTAAAACGCAACGCATGGTGCGGAACATACCAGAGCAACTACTGGCAGTAATCAAGTCGTTTGTGTCTGTGACACCCGTGGATTCTAGGCTGATAAGCGGGGCGGGTACTGGTTTGTTGTGAGAGAAAAATACTGTTGACTGACTGATAAGCCCTACTTGAAACCAACAAGCGAAGAGGCTAACCATCTCAGCTTGTTGTGGTTGTGACGCTAGCCGGTTGGGGTGGAAGAAACAAAAGAGGGGAGGAAAGAGTTGCTCGCTTTTGCTTCGTCGGTTCTTCTCTCCATTCATTGGTACTAAGCCTTGAGCTCTGCATCTCAGGGTCTGTTTTGATAGAGCTCTCATAGCTGATTCTCGATTGGATCTAGAAGGAGTTCTGCCAAACGTTTTTATTGAGTGGAGCGATTCTATGATAATTTCCGTAGAGTGATTCTCTAAAATAAATTGGCTGGGAGTTGGAAAAAATAGCTTTTTCTGATGGTGTGAAAATCATCTCTCATAGAATTATGAATCATGTGGAGTACTAACAAACAAGTCCTCGTATGTTCCGAGCACTACCAAACAAGTCCTCGTAAGTTCTCTAAAATACTGATTTCGTGGAGTGATTTTTTGAAATAAATTGGCTGTAATCTGGAAAAATAGCTTCCCTGAAGAATCCGCTCTCATAGAGAATCAGGGCCACTACCAAAGTCCTCGTACGTTCGCGAGGGACTCCAATTCCTCACTACAACTCCGGGACGTCATGCATCTGGCAGTGAACTTGCGGAGGGATTTCTCCGTCCTGCAATGGGAACTGCCGAGGCCTGGCGCAGCACAGTTCGTCGCATCGCATGTCAGCCGGTGCACACGCCACGCAAGGACACGGCACGAGAAGGGGTGTGTCTGCATTCACTGCGAGCAAAAGAGCACACACTAATCATGCTATTCATACTCTGAGCCCCGGCCCCACCTGACAGTGCTGGAATGACTGGCTCACGCGTCACGCCATCTGCCGCCTCTTTCGCAGGCCTACAAATCTAAGAAAAAAAAAATCCAGTATATCCATTTCCAAGCAACCCTGAACTCCCCTCCGAGCAGAGCGGCGCACGGCAGCCGGCAGGGGATGAGGGGACCTGGCCTCCCCGCCCGCCCCCCTGCCCTGCTTTTCCTTCTCCCCTGCCCTCTCAGCTCTCGCTCTCGTAAAATTTGAGGACGACACGGCAAGCGACGCCTAAAAATGACCACAGCGCAGGCCCGTGCACGTGCACCCAAAGCGGCGGCGCCTCTCAGGCCCCCGAAAGAAACAAACGGGAGAGCAGAAACGAGAAAAGAAAAGGCAGCCATCGGTGATCGGTTCTCGGCTTCTCGCAGGGCGGCAGGGGTGTGCTTTGCCTGGCAGCCATCCGTTCTTGCACAGCAAGAAGAAGAATAAGGACCCGTTCGTTTCAAGGGGAACTGTGGCCTGGAATCATTCTTGCTGGTTTGCTTGCATAATTTGTATAGGGTGCGTTTAGATTCAAAAATTTTTTGTTTTGGCTACTGTAGCGCTTTCGTTTGTATTTGGCAATTAGTGTCTAATTATGGATTAATTAGGTTCGAAAGTTTTGTCTCGCGATTTCTTACTCAACTGTGTAATTAGTTTTTTTTTCGTCTACATTTAATACTCCATACATGTGCCGCAAGATTCGATGTGACGGATGCTGCGCAAAATTTTTTGGATTTTGGGGAAAACTAAACAGGCCCTAAGTTTTGATCATACTGAGTAACCGAAAAGGCCTAAACGGACAGAGCGAGCCATTCCCCAAACGGTCAGACCCCACCCTCCCCCCCCCCACACACACACACACACACACACGGAGATGATTGGTTCTCGTTTCCAAGATTTGATCCATCTTTTCGTTTCCAAGATTTGATCCATCTTTTCTTCCACCCTTTTTTGGTTTAAAAAATGAGACGAGATTTCATCCGTCCGTCATTCCGTCTAATCCATCCAGGATTACGGAATCCAAGAAGCCAGCATCAAGCCTGCCCTTCCGTGCTGATGTTTGTCATCATCTCCTCCACCACCAGGAGCAGGAGCTTGATTGATGGATCACCACCACCAGCTAGTAGCTACTCCCTCCATTTCCAGTTCAGTTAGTGACCGACTGTGAGATACAGCATGTATTACACAATGATGAAACGCATTGGTTTTTCCTAAACAATCCATATTATATGATTATCATTTGGAGGAACATGAACATTGAAAGGATGAAGGTGGGGGTGGGGTAAACAAAGAAAAAAAGAAGTGCTAAGACGATAACTTAATTCCTGGAGCAACAGCAACAACAATGGATGATGATGCGGTGATGATTGCTGTGGCGGAGGGCCTGAATTCCCAAAATGGCTAGGAAGAACGTCCCTAGGTCCCACATCTCATGGCCATCCAACCAATCAGGCAACCAACTATCCAAAGGTGAGAGATCAATCCACCCGCCGCCCCAGTTGGATCACGACGGGAAGCAATCAATCAATCAAATCGGTCGGAATTGTGGATTTCTGCGGGCGGCGAGCCATCATGACGGCGGGGCGGCCAGGGGCTGCGGCTGCGCCTGCTGCTGCTGCGGCTGGGCCACGAACGGGTGCTGCAGCAGCCGCATCGCGGACGGCCGGCTCGCCGGGTTCTTCTGGAGGCAGAGGCTGATGAAGTTCTTGAAGTCCGCCGAGGCGTTGCGTGGCGCCTGCGGCGAGTCGGAGTAGCAGATGGCGCACATGAGCGCGGCCCAGTCGCCCTGCTTGCCCAGGTTCTCGCCCAGCGGGAAGCGGCCCAGGTAGAACTCGAGGATGCTGAGGCCGAAGCTCCAGATGTCGCCGGCGTACCCGTCGTAGGCGCCGTCGTTGAGGTCGGTGTTGATGCGCTCGGGGCTCATGTACGCGATGGTGCCCACGGAGGAGTTGCAGGGGTCCATGGTCTGGTTCAGGATGCGGCCCACGCCGAAGTCGGCGATCTTCACGCGCCGCCCGGAGTCGATGAGCAGGTTGGAAGGCTTGATGTCGCGGTGCACGATGTGGCGCCGGTGGAGGTAGGCGATGCCCGACAGCACCTGACGCGCCACGTGCGCC